CACATGCAGGACAGCTGGCAAGGATACTTGCCCACAGTTTATCCACATTAAAATTAATCTTATAGGGGCGCCTGGGTGGCGCAGTCAGTTAAGCGTCCGACTTCAGCCAGGTCACGATCTCGCGGTCCGTGAGTTCGAACCCCGCATCAGGCTCTGGGCTGATGGCTCAGAGCCTGGAGCCTGTTTCCGATTCTGTGTCTCCCTCTCTCTCTGCCCCTCCCCCGTTCATGCTCTGTCTCTCTCTGTCCCAAAAATAAATAAACATTGAAAAAAAAAATTAATCTTATAAAAGGTACAATGAGCTGTATAGAGTGCCACTGAGCAAGGAAAACATACAGGAGGGTGGAGCAGGGCAGCCACATACAAGGGCCTAACAGTACAGCAGAAGACCTCCAACTACACAAGTAGGGTGCTCCAGTCTCAGCCTCAGGTAGGGAAACCAGTAGGTAGACATTCTATAGACACAAGTGCAATGTTTCAGGAGCTCCTCCAGGATCCTGCCAAAGATATAGGACTCTGCTGTATATAGCTCATCTTCTAGTGTGTAGTAAAGCATGGACCTCTCCAAAAGACCCTGATCTCTATCTGGGCACTATCCTTTTGTCCTTTCTCTCACAACCATCTAGGGCTCTGTTCCTTGCTCCAAAAAGTTGGTTAACATCTGGTTTAGAAATGGATATACTTGGGTTGCCTGGGTGGCTAGTTGGTTCAGCATCCGACTCTTGATTTGGGCTCAGGTCATAATCTCACAGGTTGATCAGTTCGAGTCCCACATCGGGCTCCTCACACTGACAGTGCAGGGCTTGCTTGGAATTCTCCCTCTCCCCCTTCCTCTCAGCCCCTCCTGCACATGCTCTTTCTCTCAAAATGAATGCATAAACTTAAAAAAAAAACAAAAACAAAAAACGGATACATTAGTGAGATCAGGTACCTATAGTTTGACAACATCACATGTCTGCTATATGATTTCTCTTAGCAAGGTCCAGACATTCTCACTTATCCTATAAAAAATCTATAGCCACATCCTTGAAATTCATTAATCCATGGTAAGTCTTCTCTGGGAAAAACAAAGAAGCCATAGAAGCTATACAGCTCTACTTTGACTTTTAGGTTTGCAACAACTTTTTTTTTTTTTTTTTGAGAGAGAGAGTGAGCAGGCAAAGGCAAAAGGAAGAAGGAGGGAGGGAGGAAGGAGAGAAAGAGAGCATGTGCATGAGAGAGACAGAGAGAGAGAGAAAATCTCAACCAGGCTCCATGCTCAGCACAGAGCTCAATGTGGGGCTTGAACCCACGATCATGGGATCATAACCTTAGCCAAAATCTAGAGTCTTGGATGTTCAACTGACCGAGCCACCCAGGCACCCCTAGGTGTGCAAGACCTCTTATTTCTTTCACATGATACTTCCTTTGGGGAAAGCCAGAATCCATGGAGCACACTATGAGTGTCTCCAGAGCCACTGCATTTTTTAACTGGACTTTTTAAAAATCCCTTGTTCTGTGTACTACACAATGGTAATGAGAGAGAATTCCTTGTTCTGTCTACTATAAAACTGTAAACAGGGACATATACATGGCTAAAGCAATGACCTTTGTGGAGAAAAGCTATGCATAATCCAAAAATAGAGCTTCTTTTCCATTTTGTCTCTGCCTATAACCTTCCCATAAAAGAGAAATGTTGGGGCACCTGGATGGCTCAATCAGTTAAGTGTCTGACTTTGACTCAGGTCATGATCTCATGGTCCGTGAGTTCTAGCCCTACGTCGGGCTCTGTGCTGACAGTTCAGAGCCTGGAGCCTGCTTCATATTCTGTGTCTCCCTCTCTCTCTTACTCAAAAATAAACAAACATGTAAAAAAATTTTTTTAAAAAAGAGAGAGAAATGCTGATTTCCCTAAAATATCTGAATCTGCGTAACTCAGTAGAACTATAATGTCTATAACGTTTTCCTCAGACAACAATTTCATTTCAAAAGACCAGTAATACATGGTAGCCACCTGCCATATGTGACAATTGGTCACTTGAACAGTGGTTAGTCTGAACTGAGACGCACAGTAAGGTTACATTAAAGGTTATATTAAATTCTGGCTTTGAAAGACTGTCACATCCCCATGCTGCGCATGCACCCTATGCTCTGCTGCGTGGTACCTTGGAGCCAGCGGCACCAGAGCCTGGGCTGGCAGACCCTTGCTGCTCCATCTTGCGCCCTGCCTGGCCTGTTGCAGGATTGGCAATGCAGGCAGTAAGAATGTTGCAGCCCAAGAGGCTCTAGAAAGTTGGTTGTGGATTCAGGTCACTGGGCAGCAAATGCACCACTTCAACCAGCTTCCCAACAATCAGCTCAAAGCCAAGCTCCACAGAAAATCACAACTCTTCTGTGGCACTGCCCGGTTACCATGGAATCACCAGCCACAACAAACCTAGGAGAACCCCCTCCCCCCCCCAAACTCCACCTGGAACTCCACTAGTAACTGACAGCCCAGAAAGGTGAGTTTCTGTGTGATGGAGCAAGCCTCTAACATTCAGCGAGGTAGTTTACAACCGTACCTTAGCCTTCACTTCCTGCTTGACTGAATAAAGCCTGATGGTCAGCCAAAGTTTATTTATTTTTGGAAGGACAGATTATTTATAGTTCTCTATTCTGCCATTTTTGCTGATATCCTATCCTTATTCCTTATTGTTTAAACAAGTGGCGTTTACCTCTTCAATTACTTGTGCTAGAAGCATCCTAAATAACCCAGAATCACATTTGTGAAGTCATCTTGAAAAGTCCACTACTTTTCTAAAATCCAACACTAAACAACCTCTAAGTTGTAGATCAAATACTATCACTGTTAATAAAAATCACCTAGTAAATTAACTTTATCATATTAATTTTTACATGTACAGGTTTACTTTAAATTTATATTAAAATAAATTTAAGAATTCGGGCTACTGAAGACAGGATAAAAAAATTAAGTAACCCCTAATTTTTAAACACTGATTATGTGTGAAATGATAATACTTGGATATATTGTGCTAAATGAAATATATTATTCAAATTAATTTTACCTGTTTCCTTTTACATTTTTAATGGGGCTACTAAAAATTTAAGAAAGCCTTTACAATAAAAAGCAACTCTACACCTAGAACTTAAAAAACAAAAAATAGCAACTCTTATTTTCTTCAAGACTACTTATAAAAAACTTAGTCAATTACAGTAAAATTCAGCCTTTTTATAAATTTAAGTTCAGCTGTTTCAAGAACTATTTTTTAACAAAGGATTATATATTATTATGAATTCCCCTGGATAAAAGTAATGAAAAAGAACATTACATTGGGGCACCTGGGTGGTTCGGTGAGTTAAGCATCAAACTCCTGATTTCAGATCAGGTCATGGTCTTACAGTTTGTGAGACTGAGCCCCACATCACGGCCTTGTGCTGACAGTGAAGAGCCTGCTTGGCAGCTTGGGATTCTTGGTCTCCCTTTCTCTCTGCCCCTCCCTCACTTGTGCTCTCCCTCTCTCTCAAAATAAGTATATAAAAACTTAAAAAAAAAAACCATTATATCCATACACTACTGAACCGTATTTAATCACTCTCAAATGATAGATCACTTCTTTAATTAGGCTTACAATTTTGAAACAATATAGCAGATTTTCCAAAGACCTTCAACCTGAATTTCATACCCTACTTAAAAGATAAGTGATCACCCAAAGCACAACCATGGGATATTTGGCAAAATAAAAAAGCCGTATGTACAGCACACAAACTCCTAAGATATTACCTGGTAGATATCAGATAAACTGCTGCTCCCAGAGTCACTGGCGATACTACAACCAGACTGACTAGAAGACACGTGAGTCACCTGTGGATGAGGGTTGTCTGTGATGTGCATCTTGGTAAGATCGGCTGGAAGCTGAAGAAGAAAAATAATTTAATATATTCTGAACATATATAACCACAGAATTGTTCAATCACTATACTGTACATCTGAAACTAATATAACACTGTTAACTATATTGGAATTAAAATAAGAAACAATAAAAAAATTAAATAAAAACTTGTCAAGAGTTTTTGACATATTGTAATTTCTGCAACAAAGTTTGGTTTTATGTACATTACTGTGCAAACCCATTTCTAACCCAAATTCCCCACTTTTAGGAAAAATCTTCGGAAATAATAAGAACCAAATTAGTACTATGACACTGTTAGTCAAGCCTAGACAGGAATTCACTGTGTAGATTCCAGAAGAGATTACCATTAGTAATGGTATTTCAGAGGAAAAACTTTGCCCCTCTTTTGTTTCAAATAAAACTATCAGCTACTGCCACCCTAAAGTGTTAACAATGTGAACACACACACACACCACTAACACAAAATAGTCATTAGTATGAAAAAAAAAAAAAAGGCAGTATCTTGGGTTAAAGTACAGCATCTGGCAGGAAGACTTAATAGTTGACTGCATTCCAAATTTCAAAAATTTTATACCCTCTTTTCACATAATATTGTACCAATTTGTAGTTGGTCCCTAAAAAGTTTGTTAGTAATCATGATTTAATGAATGTCTATGCTAGGTGCAAGGATACAAGAGACTTAAGAAGGAAATTATTCTACATTATCTTTAGTGCAGTTATGCTTTTATAAAGGATGCAAGTTTGTACAATACCTTTCATACCAAAAAAAAAAAAAAAACACAACAACACAAACCTCACGAAATAAATGCAATAGGAATTAAGATCAACAACAAACCACTATGCTGCAGAGTAGTGTAAGAAAGTATTAGATAGGAGGCATGGTGATCTATTTTCCAAATAATTCCTCTGCAACTGCTATTCAGGAACATTAAGAGAAATCTACTTACTTTTTAAATTTTTTTTTTTTAACGTTTATTTATTTTTGAGACAGAGAGAGACAGAGTATGAACGGGGGAGGGTCAGAGAGAGGGAGACACAGAATCCAAAACAGGCTCCAGGCTCTGAGCTGTCAGCACAGAGCCCGACGTGGGGCCTGAACTCACGGACTGCAGGATCATGACCTGAGCCGAAGTCGGCTGCTTAACCGACTGAGCCACCCAGGCGCCCCTCTACTTACTTTTTAAAACAGGGGTTCTCATTGCTTTAGTGCAAAAAAACATTAAGGAAACATTCATTTAGTTTTACTAAAAACTAAATAAACCCTAAAGGAAAAATGGCCAAGTCTGAATTCTATTAACAGTAGTCACTGCAATTATCAAAACTACACACAGAAATGATATCACATATGCCCCTGCTGATAATAGTAGGTAACTAACTCAGATGAATTCTCTAACTAAGGTAAACAGAAAAACTGGAACACACACAATATGACCTTTGAGGTTTTGCTGATTCATAAAGATGAGATCAAGAGATTCAGAAGCACTTCTGAGTCACTGGTTAAAGAGACAAAAGTTATATTCCAAGGCCTAGCATGTAAGGCTGTTCTCTGGAAGGGGACCCTGGAAAAAACATTACACTCAAGTAATGAATGTGATCCAAAAGTAAACTGATGCTCATTTTAGAATCCATGTCAATCCCTGAAGTTGTATTAAAGTTATACAGGGTTACTAGTGCTTCTAGTTAACTACTGGAAGCAAATGAATCTTTACCATAAAAATTTTGCATATACAACATACATTGCTCAAATAAATCTAAGCACATTACAAGACAGCATTGATGAAAACAGAATAAACTTCAGACAACAATGAAGAACTTACAAATAACGCAGTAAACAGATTTTAAAATAACTGTATTTAATATATATAGCAGGGGTTGGCAAACATTTTCTTTAAAGGACCAAGGAGTATATATTTTAGACTTTTGTAGGCAACATATAATCTCTATACATACTTTCCTTTGACTTTTTTTTTTTTAAACAACCCCTTAAAATGTAAAAATCATTCTTAGCTCTCAGGGGATACAGCTCACTGGCCATACATGTTCTAGTATAGCAATCCATGGTAAAGACACCTGCACTTTGAATAACACAGGTTTGAACTATATGGCTCCACTTATGAATGGGTCTACTTACATGTGGATCTTTTCAATACACTGTAGTACTGCAAATGTATTTTCCTTATGATCTTCTTCATAACATTCTTTTTTCTAGCTTACATTATTGTAATAATACATATAACAAACAAAATATGTCTTAATTGACTATGTTATTGGTAAGGTTTCCACTCAACAGTAGGCTGTCAGTACTTAAGTTTTTGTGGACTTAAAAGTTATACATGGATTTCCGACTGCACAGGGGTCAGCGGTGCTTGAACCCCTGTTCAAGGGTCAAGTCTACAGAGATAAAGACTTAAGAAAAATTAACTTTAGCAAATAAGTATTAACCAAAAATAAAATTAAAAATCTAAAATTGAAAATTAAAGTTATGGAAATTAAAAAGTCAAACATGGACTCAACAGATTTGACAGAACTAAGATAAGAATTAGCAAAGTAAAGGGGAGGGGCGCCTGGGTGGCTCAGTTAGTTAAGCATCCGAATTCAGCTTCATCTCATGGTTTGTGAGTTCAAGACCCATGTCACACTCTCTGTTGTCGACACAGAGCCCACTCTGGATCCTCTGTCCCCCTCTCTCTCTGCCCCTCCTCCGCCTGCATGGGTGCATGCACGTGTGCGCATTCTCTCCCTCAAAAATAATCAAAGATTAAAAAAAAGAATAAGTAAAGACTGCCCTGAAAAAATATCCACAATGAAGCATGAAGGTAAAAAAGAATGAAGTTGGGAGAGAAGGGGCAAAAACCACAGGAGATACAGCGAGAAGTTAACATCTGAATAACCAGAGTCAAAGAGGGGGGAAAAAAAAAGCTATTCAAGGCATAGAAGATAATGGCTGAGCATTTTCCCAAATGACAGAATATATAGTTACAGATCACACAGCTTTAAAAATTACCAACAAGATAAATAATTACAAAACCATAGGTATGCATACTAGGGTAAAACTGGTGGGGGGGAAAAGAGAGAAAAGTCTTAAAAGCAGTCAGGAAAAAAAGATTACTTTGACAAGACCAAAATTAAACTGATGGTTGACTTTTCAACAGAAATCTGGAAGCCAGAAGACAATGGAATAATATCTACAACAGCTAAAATTCTGTACCCAGCAAGAACAGTCCTCAAAGAAAAGGCAAAAGTAAAGACATTTTCAGAGAACCAAAAATGAAAAGAAATACTCTCCAACAGACCTAGAATGAAGAAAATCCACAGGGAGAAAGAAAACAATTCCAAACGGAAATTTCTAGGTGCAATAAAGAAGGAAAACCAATGAAAACCAGGAAATGTGTGGGTAAATCTACATGAATAGTGACTACATAAATAGTAACATTAAGTTCCCATAAAGTTTATAATACATACATACAATTAAAATATGTTTTAACAATAGAATGTAAGGTTGGCAAAAAGTAAACAAAGTTATAAAAGTACTTTAAGTTCTCTGCAATGTCCATGAAACTGTGGCAACAGACTTGATAGATGAAGGATGCATTGTTGTAACCTCTGATTTAAATTTAGTAAAAAAGTGGGGGTGTCTGGGTGGCTCAGTCCATTAAGCATCTGACTCTTGATTTTAGCTCAGGTCTTGATGCCACAGTCGTGAGATGGAGCCTTGCATCACGCTCAAAGCCGGGGGTGCAGCCTGCTTGGGATTCTCTCTCTCTCTCTCTCTCTCTCTCTCTCTCTCTCTCCCTCCCTCCCTCCCTCCCTCCCTCTCAAAAACAACAAACAAAAAACAAAGAAAAAACAAAAACAAATTAAAATGCTATGATCAAAAAATTTGGAATAAACTAAAGCTATGCTCAGAGGCCATTCTGTGGCTCTACTATGTGTATTTTAAAAAGCAGCAGAAAATCAATGAGCTAACTATAACTGGTTATAATAATACAAAAATAGTGAGAGGAGAATGTCTCAGGTCAAAGATCTTCCTCCTACTTAGTTTCTACTGTTGAGACAGAAAAAAATTCTTACACAGGAATGAAGTAGATGAAAAGCCAAAGAATGAAAATAGTTTTCAAAGGTCAGATGATTGGTTCAGGTGTCAGGAGTGGGAGATAATCTATATTCCAAGATTCCTACAGAGGTTAAGACCAAAGAGAAGGAGGTCATCCATAAAAGTAACACAATGAACCAAAGCCAGAAGAGCAAGTCCTGGCTTAGTAGTAATACTTAAAATCTACTAAGCAATCTTTCATCCTCACTAGACCCTAAAAACAGGCATTATTATCATCCCTGCTTTACAAATGAGGAACTGAGGCGATCTCTAACTCAAGTAAGTAGTAGAGTTAGAATGCAAACCCAGGTCTATCTGCGTCTATTAGTCTCTGCTATATTCTACTTTGTACCAGCAACTCTGCTGGTAACATAAAGATGAAAGCAGATAGGTACCACCTTCAAGGACCACAGTTTAAGAGTGAAGAGTGCACACAGATTTACAAGTACACAGCATCTCCTTTCTACCTCATGAAGAAAATTTAGATCTACATATAGGAATCCTTTCAACTTTTTTTATCTGATGAGAATAATAATGATGGTCACTGCAGCTAATGTTTGCTCATTACGTGTGCCAAATATGTAAGCTAGCAAACATTCCTTTCTACATACTTTTTACATAGATCATCTAATTTAATCATCAAAGATTAGAAAACCAAGGGCCAGAGAAGTTACACAAGTTGCCCACAGTCACATAGCTAGGAAGAAGGGAAACTGGATTTGAAATCCAGACACCCTGACTACATATCAGTTGCTCTTTCCTACTAAGTTGTTTCCTGATACTAAGTTGTGAATTCCTAACACCTAACAGTTCCTATTTTCTTTCTAACAAAAGAGGCAGAAGGGAAAAAGTTTCCTCCCACAGGAATTCTTAATTTCTTAAACCTTCTCTGACTTTTCTTTTCTTCCT